CACGCTGATATACAGAAGCATGTGAAACAGAGCCTGTTTAAAGCGGCATAATTTGATGGGTATACTTTTATACACATTTATCACCACTAGCATGAAGGTGCATTGCAGAATGTTTTACGATGCTCTAATGCTGCAGCAGCCTGCAGCCAGGGGCACTAATCTTTTCAGGACATTGACAGCTGTTGGGCTGCTAGAAAATGCTAGAGCATCAGATGTCAAGATAAGGCTGTGGTCATAATTAAAAAGTATTTTTCATATACAATGAAGACATTTTTTCTTGTTTTGTTTTTCTACCAACTATCCCATAGAGGAAAGGCACAAAGTTTTAAATACTGCACAAATGTACTGTAAATGCTAACTGAACATGTGCAAGTTTCAATGCAGAAATGTTCAAATATATTTACAGTTCTCTAAACCATTCAATTAGTACAGCTCTTAGAGAGTTTTATTTTTTTACTTCTCTAGTTAAATGTGTTTTTACTTTATATACAACATATGATTTTTTCATAGCAGTAGGCTGACAGACCAATTTAGGAAAATGTTTAAAATAACACCATAAACACTTTAGTCAGTGTTTAAGTGGGGTACTACCATCTGTCTAAGATTAATTAATTCAGATAAAGTGATGCATGATACTAACTAATTTGGCTCATTTGCAGCATATACAAATACACACATTAAATTGCTTCTTCATTATGGTAATGTACAGCACTGGTAATGTCACACCGAAGAAACTCTGAATGTGAACTGTGATTCTATTGACTGTACCTCCACACACACAGTTTGAAACACAAAATAAGATTATCTAATGCCCACAGCTAAAAAAAAAGAACTTTTATACATGCTTTCAAAGTTAAAAAGTTTCTATATCCTAAAACCTTCCTAGATAAATCTAAATGGGTTTTTAGGGTAATAAATCTTTTTCAGCTACTCCTTGAACTTCACAGTATTGGGTGTAATTGAAAAATCTTGGCTCTGTGCAGTTCGTACCTGGAAAACAGACAATAATTGGTATCAGTGCAGGGTACAGACTCACTCTCCTTTCTGTAACATCTGGATAATTATTTTCCATCTGTTTTGTATGGAGATGATGGTGGGACACTTTTTGCTGACACCATGAAATTCTCTTGTGGCTCCTGAAAGAAGTCTCAATCCATTTGGGATTTCCCATGATGATTAACTCTAACAGGACTGAAATTCCCTATTTCCTTTTCGCTGTGCAACAGCAGACCCCCTAGTCCCACTTACTGTACATTACAGAAGAATATTTTAAAATGCAGTAAATATTAAATGTGATTCCTTTCCACCTTCTATCATGAGACCATTGGCAGCATTGGCTATTTTCTGGTTTCTAGCAACCTACACGTTTTTTCTTTGAGGCTAATATCGGTCAGCCTCACAGTCAGTTTAATCACTGCATGCCATCACCGAGAGTTTGTGTGATGGAGTTGCAGACTTGCACAGTCAGCAAGCAAGAGTTTCGCTAAAAGCACCACGCTGGTGCCGGAATCAGACGGTGGAAAAAAAATGAAAGAATAAAAAAACGGGTTCCAGCTAATGTTTTTCAGTTAGAAGAACACAGGTTCTACATTTATGCAGGTGTACTGTAGTTGGCGTAATTCAAAAAATGATTAAACGCTAAGTGAGGCATCGCTGTATAAAAAATATATTGCTGCTCTGGAATCCATCCAGGGCTAAAAGGGATGTCCTACCATGCTAAAAGAGCTGAACCTTTTTAGTCACGAACATAGAAGACTATGAGTGAACCTGATCCAAGTCTTCAAAATCCTCTCAAGGAATTGACAGAATCAGCCCGGTGGACCTCTTCATAATAAATGATAAAACACGTGCCAGAAGACACAAGTGGTCCGTTACTACATTGACATGAATTTAAAACCACAGATGGGTGGAAACACTTCTTTATACAAAGGGTAACCTTTCAATGTTCCTAGCTTTGAAGCCAGAAGCAAAGAGCCGTGAAGAGTATTACAGTATTTCTAACCATTACGCCTCTGTATGTTCCCAATAATTATTAATGAAATAGAACAACTTAATTTCAACATTGACAACATACAGTATGCAGACGAATACTTCAGTTAAGATTTTCAGAGATTTTTCTCCAAACAGAAGTATTAATAGTCAACATCTCTGAAAGACCACAGCAGGCCAGATCTGACATGAACCAATTATCTTACTAAACTGAACATAACGTCCATTTGTTCCAGATATGTAAAAATTGATCTTTAATGTACATGGGATCTAATATTAAGAAGGTGCAGTTTCCCAAGTATAATGTAAAAATTCAAATTATTTTAAAGTGAATGTTAAATTAGCGGTGATGTCTGTCACAGAAGAAATTAGGAGATGTAAAACAAATTAACACAAGGTGTTAAGTTTGACATCGAGGTTAAGAAACGATTATGCTTGGGTGAATGTCTGCATGGGCTTTCATTGTAAGATAAATTCTTTACCATTTTGGAAAGAAGGAATAAAACTTGCTTGCGTCTGGAGTAACGAAGCATGCCTTTCACAGCGGATCGTTGAGCTTGTTTCTGCCAGCTTGGTTTCGTGACTACATTCGTCAACATTACTCCCCGAGCCCATTTTGACATTAAAATTAATAACGCTGGATATTAAAGAAAACAAAACATGGCTGTTAGTAATGCTTTGGAAAGTGCTTAATCTACAAAGCGTACTGACACGTAAGCACAAAGAAAGCAGTTCTGCGATGAAAAATAGCTGCAGAGTAGGCTGTTTATTTAAGGGGATGTATAGTGGTTGCAGAGTCACAATTGCCCCATGATGTGGCCCTTTCCTCTGGTGAGCTCTATAATTTCATGTTGACTAAATGGTATAGATTTGAAACTGACATGAAGACAGCTGTTGTCTGAAGATACAGTATGAAAGGGAAAAAAGTAGATCTCCCATAAAATTAACTTGCCTCAAACTGGCTCAGCCAACACCTGGACATCGGAACCCTGAAATCATACATTAGCTCAAATTTAAAAAAATCTGTTCTTGTTGCTTCAGCCAATTATGTGGATTGTTTTGCAGTTCTTAGGCTTGAACGAGACTGGCTGTGTTATGAGCAGGTAGATTTTCTTATCCATTCCTTCTCTTAAGGTCTACGTGGCATAATGAAATCAATCAGTTGCTTTGGAAATGCCGAACTGAATCCACATCTCTGACCTTTGACTGTGTCTCTGAACAGGACTACAGTATGTCTCTTCAGAACCAGGGCTGGACACTTCTGATTTACAGAATAGGACGTACTAAATCAGTTTATTGCAAAGCTCACGTCTGGTGGATTAAAATTATTAACAATAAAGAGTCCTACTTCACAAAATAGTAATGTGACCTATAGCTGGCTATTTCCTTATAAGCCTATAAAATCAGGCATTTCTGATACAGGCTGTGTTCAAATATCAGATTCTTTAATCTCTCAGTGGCTCGCCACTGGAAAATAGCTGGCACCTTACAGTCCCATGAATCTTGGACTCTGGCTGATGTTTTCACTCTCTCTGAACACCAGTGGTTGTGAGGTCCACTTGTGTGCTGTTTCTTCTACTTGACCAGTAGTGCATAGTACCAGCTGTCTGATTTATTTTTGTGTAGCATCCAACAGTGTCTTTGTAAAGCACTGGAAAAAAATAAAAACAGGAAAACTTCTGTTTGAGTCTCTTGCTTGCCAAGTTTGCTCTCATGATGTGCAAAAATCTTTTAGTCACAGTTAGTGAAGCAATAACTTCTTTTTTCATTCCTCTAACTTGAAATGCACAACAGAGCAGAAAAGTCAGTGGAAAGTAGAAGGAAATAACTGAACCTAAATGAAGCAGGGTGCCTGTGGCGCAGTGCTTATTAGAATTTTTTTTATCAATTTTAAATACTTAAAATATTCCCATTCTGCTGCTCAGTCACTGTGCAGCCTGATATTTATTTAAACACCTCTGACGACTGACTGAAATGACTTGAATGACTCAAAGCTGTTAGCTGTCATAACAGTAACTCATTCACACTTGGGAAAGAGAAAACAAGATTTGTAAGGCTCCGAGTTAAATATTAATCAAACTGTGAATGTAGTCTTTTATTCTGGAGTCATATAATTATTTATATATATGCACACACTTGTAGTCTTGATGTCCTTGGAAAAAAGTTTAGTCTTTACAAGACCCTTAATAACACTATTCTGTTATCCATCTCCTAGCCTAGAACATTTTGAAAGCCTTTTATTCACAGATAGATTGCAGTAAATATACTCTTTCCCGGTGTGTTCACCCCTAACATTACTCCTTTTGGTTTGATTTATCTTCCTGTAAGACAACAGTGCGTGGAAGCATTTAAGAAGTTACAGGTCAGTAAGAATACTCCCAGTATTAGCTACTTCATGAAAAAAAAAACACTTTGCAAATGAAATTAATACCATTTTAAGGGACATTGGGTTCAAGATGGAATTGCACATCCAGCATATTACAGACCTATCCATCTGGGTGTGTTTTGCTACTCAAATAAACTATGAGGGATACATTTTTCTTCGCCAGTACTTGTATTAATTATAATTAGATTTATAAGAGTGCTGACCAGGTTTAAAAGAAATCCAATTTCTGTGCTGATTGATTATGATTGCTATATGGTACTTTACGGTATAAACCGCAAAACCTCTGCAGTTGAGAGAAAGAATATCGAATGATGATAAACACCTTGACTTTGTTCAATCCATCCTTACCTTTAAGGTTTCACAAAATCTGTTTTTAGAAGGAAACCTGAAGTGTAGCGTATTCCCAAAACAACTTGAAACAACTTAGCTTGGTGTTTTTTGTGGTAGAAGTCATGAACCTGTGATTGAGTGTTTCTGTGTTGAAAACAGTGCATGCATCTCTTATGTCATTCTTATGTCTCTTCTTAAAGTCATTCCTTTGACTTCATCAGGGTTTTATGACAACATGTAAGGAGCTAATTGAACTTTAGCGGACATTCACTCAAACTGTGTTTTTCTTTTCCAGTCCCCGCAAATATTTACAACATTTCCGAAGACATCCTTGTCAATGAGGGAGAGAATGTGTCACTGAGGTGTTTAGCCAATGGCAGACCAGAGCCAATTGTCAGCTGGAGGCTTCTTAATCCATCAGGTAAGAATATTGCTGGCATTGCTGTTTAACACTCTGTGGGAACATTTTCAGAGTGGCTAAAGTTTTTGTTGGGCGTCTAAACTAAGCTTTTTTTAGACAGACTTGTTAGAATCCAGATTTTTAACAGTCACTCTTGTGAGTGCATATCTCGGGTCATGGAAATATGTTAATTGAGTTGACATAAGTCTAAAACTAGACTACCAGAAATGAATTCCCTCTCTCCCCTTTTGGACAAAGAGTCGGTCAGTGCAGCTGACATCTTTGAGGCTAACAATGTCACAACAACATGTCTGTGAAAGGTTAAATTTATAGTTTGTGTGTGACTAAGAAGTTCTTCACTGTTTTCTGACATAGAGTATGTGGAGGTCTATAGCGTATAGAAAATAATAAGACCCAATTTGTGAAAAAAACAATTTGGCACCATACTAGTCAGGAATTATCTTGGTGAGATGTTTGATGATTTCATCTACTGGTCCACCTCGAAATGTCAATGACTCTGGTGCCGGATATTTGTGTTAGTTTTGCCTTTTATAATTATTCTGTGTGCATTTTGTATGAAGCCATTTCTAGCAATAAATTCAACGCTGTATCTTGGAGAAACTGTGAAGAACTGGTCCTGATTAAATGACCCAGATGTTGGTTGCACTGCCTTTTGACATATTTCAGACTTTGGGGAAATGCTAGACTCCTATGCAAACCTCTCAACATTTGAGTTACGTCTATATGTATGTGATATTTTGTCACTTTTGGATCAAGCTAGTGCTTTGATCAAGCTGGTCAAACAACAGGCATATGTTCACTGTTCAGCTGCTCACTCAGCTGTAGATTTCTTTCTTTTGTTCTAAACATTTAAAATGTTTGGTTGCAAGACTAATGTTTGTGCCCTTTAGTTTGTGGCGTCTTGTGTTTGTTCTGCTGATGTACAGTAGCACTACTACTGTGAGTTTATGAAGTAGTCCTTTGATTTTTCTGTGGGGGGTATCATAATCATAATGAAGTGATGAACAGAGGGACGTTCCTTCTTTAACAGTAATAAGCATATTGTTTTGTTTCAAGTGATTCATGTGCTACAGAACGTGAGAAGAAGAAGGAGCTCAGCTGTTTCTTGCCTGTTTTATACTGTTGTTGTTTTAAAGGTCTCAGATCTCATCATTTGTTGGGAATCAAATGCTCAAATCCTGGCTTGCAGCATTAAAACCTCTCTCTATTATTTTGTTGTTTCCCTGGAGCCGTGAGATTGCTTTTCGGGTTCCAGTGTTCAGATGCGTTACGCTACTCATGGCAGGGTTTAGCCTTACAAGTCATTTTTTATTAAAATTACTTTTAGCTTCTGCAGATGGGGCTGGCTGGTGCTTAGCGAGGGATAATGAAGTGCATTTGATGGTAAAGCTCCGGAATCTAGTTAAACTCTGGACATGCTTGCCATGTAATTTGCATTCATTATCAATCAATCCATCGATATTTCCATTTTTATACTGCCCATACGGACGAGAGTGCCCTAAATTAGGTCTTCTGAGCGGTTCATGAAATGCTTTCCCTGACCTGGGAGCGGAATTGCAGAATGCTGTAGAGCTGACAGGCTTGAGAGGGGATCAGCGAGCCTGCAGTAGTCGTTCAGCACTTGAGCCCAGGAGAAGTCTCAGTCCAGAGAAGACAATTAGATCAGCTAGCTAGGGGCATACAGTACCAGTCCTTGGAAAGACCTGATAGTGAGCTTAAAATAAAAAAAAAACTTTTCTTTTTTCTTTCTTCTTTCTTTTTTGCACTCAGGTCCCAAAGGGGCAATCACCCCAGAGCAAATTCGCTCTTCTTTCTGTGCTGCACCACCGTCAGCACATAATTTGCATGCTAGGTAACAGGATTGGGTCAGCTGAAAATAAAATGGTAAAGAGTTGATAACTTAAAAATTCCTCCAGAGAGCTGTTTTATTTGATTTAATCTTGTAATTACAGTGGGCTATACCTCATTGTGAGTCCTGAAGCACTAAGTTCCCCCCTGCATTTGAGAGTTGCATGATGCAGGAAATCTCAGGCCAGATAGAAGACACCAACAAAAACAGCAAGCAGGTAGACTTGGGTTACATAACCTGATTAGTAGCATGGCTCACAGATAAGACACCCCTCACCCTGATGAACATTAGTGTGTGTAATGTTAAAAGATCATTTTCTTAAAGTGATTTAACATGATACAGTCTGGAAAGGAAATCAAAGGGCAATAGTCAAGATGGTATTATTTCAGCAACTGACTAAAGAAGCCGTGGCTCCACTCTGGCTGTTTTTAGAATTTGTTAAAACCCACAATTACTTTGAAAAGATAGCAGATGCTGCCCAGTATAGAAAAGAGAGATACAGAGGCAAAAGCTTGATGCCAAGAAGGTGCAACAAATCAGACCAACCAAGAGATACTCAGGCTAGGTTTGAAATGAGCTAAATTGCAAATCATTTGACCTGAAAAGATTAGCTCCACATTAAAAACTTATCTACGTGCTGTATTTTTCTTTTTTGTTTTTCAAAGTTGTCTAATGACAGACACTGTTTTCAGAAAATCCCTTTTTCTGAAAGGTTCTGAAATAAACTCTTTATTTCTTTATCACTTGAATTTTAGTCTCCAAAAAATGTTTGAAATGTGCAAAGTGCTTTGTCAGTAGCCATTGAAGTACCACTACTTCTGTCTGCCAAGAATTTAGGCTTTAACTTTTCTGAAAACAGAATTTTGAAAAGCATGCAGATTAGCTACTGAAAACTTAATTTACATTTATAGAGATACAGGTTTTTTTTAATGTTAATATTAGTCATTAGGAATAACTGCATTTCTTTAAGAGTTAAGTCAACCTCCTATGTACTAAAGAAACAACCGCACTACACACCTTTTGGCTCCTTAACTGGAGCTTTTACAAACCATGTGAAATGGCATGTGGTCTTTTTGATAAGGAGGCTCTACAGTAAGCAGGAAGATCTGAACTCAAGCCTCCCAGCTTATTATAAAATGCTACCTAGTTTCATTTCAGTGGATTTTATCAAAAAACTCCTGAATGGATTCTCAGGCTTGACAGTTTGGAGAAAGAAAGAAGAAAGGCAGATTTTAAGAGGTTTAGAAATCATTTGGTCCTTTGAAATAACTGATTGTCCCAGAACAACCAAGGCCCTGTCTAATCTGAGTGCTCATCGTAGCTGTTCTCTGTTGTACTCCAAAGGAAAGGTATTGATAAGTGATGTAATGATGAGTTATGTGCATCTATATATTTTTTAGAATGTACCTGTTTTGATGCTCAAACTTGTGCTGCCAGAAATCAATACTGAATGGAGAAACGCTATCTGTACAAAGACAAGTCTGTCAGTTTATTTTTTTTTTCTCCAGTGTTGGCTCACACTGGGGTGTGCTGTGTTTCCTCTTTGATGTTGTACGCATTGCTCAGATTGTCCTGATTTTAGGAGCTGATGGGGTATCACAAACCGAACATGCTTTTTTACATTTTTTTATGAGCAGAGAACCACTCAGCTATCCATGAGAGGTAAAAAACTCAAACTTGAATTAGCCCACTAAATGCCATAAAGCCTTTAGTTCCTTGCCAGCTGAAGCAGTAGATGTTAGAATTGGATTTTGGTCTTACCTGATTCTAAGACCAAGCACCCTATTTGCTTATGCTTTATGCATATGTGTGTAGAACACTAAATCATTGAGGTTTTCAGCTTCATCCCATTACCATTTTTTTTAAATAACATGGACACAGACAAATTTTCTAAAAATATTGAGGGTATAATTGTTTATACCTTCTTTATGGAGAAAAATTGTCATTAATTTGCTGTGTCTCTGCATTGAGTCAGGTGTCGGTGATTAATAATTTATTAAATTATTTTTTAGAAGTGGATCACTATGAAAACCTTGCAGCTTTGATAGCATCAGCAGCAGCAGACATTCGATTTTGAATATGATAGCCCTCCAGGTGTTGCATGTGGATCCTGTTTGTGGATCTGCAGATGGCGGTAACTCAGCACATCCTGTCTCCTGCATTTGGCAGGATACCTGTGCTTGATGTCTTGTAAGGTGGAAAAACTGATGCATAGGCAGCCGCCACTTGGTCCTTGACAGAGGACTGGAATCCAATGTTATGGGGTCCATGAGGACTTCAAAGCCTTTTCTCCATCTTCATTGTCACTGTGTTGCTCCTCACATCTCTGCAGAAATAAAACTGTGACTTGCCATTATTCTGTATACTCCACTACTGAGGTCTTCATTAGATCGCACTTTGTCTGGCACCTCCCACTTGACCTCCTTGACATGGGTGACCCCATCTGGATCATTTATGCCAGATCTCTTGGGATCTCGGGTGCTGACAAGGTGGAAATCCGTGGAAGAGAGAAGCACATCTCACCTGCACTCTGATTAGGTGATGAAAAACACACAGGGAATGGGTTCTGGAGCACACTGAGGTTTGGTAGATAATTGCTTTACTTGATGGAGGCAAAGGTGGCTTCACTTCCCTGAAATCACCAGCAGATATTTATTTTAAAGACACTGTCCAAAGCAAAACTTCAGTTCCTGTAGTATAACATCTTGCTCTTCTTGCATTCCTACGGAACATTCTGACAGCATTTTGTATATCTTTCAAGAAAAGAACAAAGCTCAGAGAATTCCCTCTGTTGTTCTGTTTATTTTTCTATTTAGAAATTGTGTTAATGTTGGATGTGTGGGCTTCAAAGCAAAAAGGGACTCACACTAGGAACAGTCATGTGTCTTTTAGCTGGTGGGTTTTGTGTTGCCTCTGTATGTGAAAGCCTTTCCTTTACTGTAGAACAAAAGCATCTTTTTCATTTCCTGCCTATTGCTTTTTTTTAATAATGCATTTATGCCATTGACATTTGCATTCCTGTTATGACATTCATCTGAACAGAAGAAATAGGTCTGTTATTGTTTTCAGTAATGTAGAACCAAATAGCTGCTAAAGTTTAATGAGCAAGCTAGTGAAATACATATACCCTTCAGATGGAAACTGAAGCAAA